AATGATTTCAAGGTCTTTATGAAGAGCCAAACTCCACAGCAGTCGGAGGCTTTCAGAGGTTTAGAGGCCTTTCTCATGCTTCACCATTGGCTGGGTTGCCGAGGCTGCAGTAGAGTGTCACTGGGTCTCGTGTGAGCTGGAGATGATAACAGCTGTTATTCCCAGCGTACCAGGCGGACACTGTGAGTACTAGTGGACTATTTTAGTTAACCTTCACATCAATCTTATCAGGTGGGTGTAATCGTTATTCAAGGCTAAGAGAGATTAGCAAAGTTGCTCAGGGTCACACAGCTGATCGTGGGATGTGCCCGGACAGTCTGACTTCAGAGCCCTGGTGGCCAGCCACTGGGATATACTACCCCGAAGTTGGCACAGGGGCCCTGAGAAGTTGCTATGGAGGTGAAATAAAATGTCCCATTACTATGCTTAGCATAGGACCACCATTTTCCCACTCAGCTCTCCCAGAGATACCTCTCTGACCCAATGTCCAGGCGTTTATATTCTCCCCAGAACTGGAACTAAACATTTATCATGTCACTCTTATGTTTATAACCTTTCCACGGCTCTGCCGCAGCCCTCAGGATAAAGCCCAAAGTCCTTCTCATGCCTTACGTGGGCCTTCGGGATCTGCCCTGCTTACACGGCCTGTCTCCCATCTTCTACGTCTGCCCCTCCAACCCCCCTGCTCCAGCCACACTGATGCACTTCCAGGAAGGCCCTCCGAGCCTTGCCACGTGCTTTTCCCTCCTCTTGGCAACTTCCCTTCTCTTCGCCTCCCTCTCCAGGTGCTAAGTACTCCTCGCTTCCCAAGTTTCAGGTCTAGCATCACTTCCTCTGCTTGTCCTCATCAAGCCCCAGATCTGGATATGACAGAAACCCCAGCATCACATAGGATTGCCCATGCTGCATTTCCTACTGAGCATGATATAGACCAGGTCTGAAGACAGGCAGCCAGTACAGTGGCATTCTGAAATGGCTTTAACACGTGCTAGGCACTGGGACAGCCAGTGGCGTGGCGGATGAAGTGGCTGGATCCCATGTGGCCGACAGCACAGTTTGAGTCCCAGGCCCAGTGGCTTGAAAAACATGCTAGGCACGTGTGTGTGCGTGCCCAAAGCCCTCAGAGTAGAACGGAGGAGAAGAAATTGAAGCATGGTCATCCTTCCAGAGGGTGTTACTCAGGTTTCTATTCTCTCTCCTTCTCTGTCTCTCTGGCAAACACAAGTGCCCTAGAGCAAATTAATACACACACACACACGTGTGTGTGCTAGGCACTGAGTTAATGATTTCATGGCTGTTATCTCATATAGTCTCACATAATCCTATTGGACTGGGAAGGTACAGATGAGAAAACTGAAATTTAAGGAAGTTAAATAGCATGCTCTAGATCCCCAAACCATAAATGGTAGAACGTGGTGTTTGAACCCAAGTTGGTGCAAATTCATGTTTTCCATCTCTGCATGATAGGTATCACCCTGGACCAGTTCAGTGAGAAAATGGAAGTTATTTAACCTGGGAAACAGGCGACCAAGAGAGACATGGCTACATTCACGTGAATAGTTGAAAGGTTGTCATTAGAGGAATGAAGAAGATGGCTCGCTAGGGAGAAGAAAGTTGTTTTTTTTTTCTTTTTAAAGTAATGTTTTAAAAGAATTATTTGATTGTATTTTTTCATTCATTTATTTTAATTTGACTAGAGAAAAAGATTGGGAAAGTGAGAAAGCAAGCCACCAGGTCCAGGACTTGAACCGTGGTCAGCCATGTGGGAATATCCAGTGCCTTAACCACCACACTTCCTGCTGGTCCCCTCTTAAGTAATTTTTTGAGAGAGAGATATTTGCTATAGGGCGCGTGCACTTGCTTGAGAGACAGAGAAAGACAGAAAATGAGAAATCATCCCCTGGGGGAATGACCCTTCTCCATTCTCCTCTTTGGATTTCAGGCATGCACACACACACCTGGTGTGAGTTTTAAGCCACTGCATCCAGGACTTGAACCGTGCTCAACTACATGGGAGCCCAGTGATGTAACCAATACGCCATCTGCTGATCCCTGAAGATTTTCTTTTTTTTTTTTTCAGAGGTTTTTCACTATAGGGTGCGTGCTCTCACCAGACAGACAGAGAGAGACATAGAGACAGAAAGCGAGAAATCACTCCCCAGGGGAGATGGTCACACCGCAATCCCTTCTCCTCCATTCTCCTCCTGGGATCTTGGGCACGCACGCACACGAGCCCAGCATGAGTTCTAAGCCACCGGGTCTGGGACGCGAACCGCGGTCGACTACATGGGAGTCCAGCGACATAGCCATTATGCTAACTGCTGGTTCCCATGATCCCTGAAGATTTTTAAAAAACATTTATTTATCTATTTATTTGTTGTGATTTTTAGGCCACCAGGTCTAGGACTTGAACCATAGTCGGTCATGTGGGAATCTAGTGCCTCAACCACCACACCACCTGCTGGCCCCAAGAAGAAAGTTGTTAAAAGGACAAGATAAACCCCTGAGGGGAAATGCCCAGCCAGGTATCCCTCAGCCCAGTGTCCAGCACAGAGGAGGAGGCTCCACAAATGGAAGGAAATGGAGCTGCCCTCAGGAGACTGGACTGTCCCAGGAAACAGTGACAGCCTCGTCAGCAGTCCCCAGACAATGGCTGCTTGGCCACCCAACCGAGCATGCTGGGAGGGCTGCAGAGAAAGGATTCTGTACACTGTCTTCTTGAACTAGATGACCTCCAAAGTCCTGGCCTCCCAAGGAGCCTGTAATTACCGGACTAGCCGATGACTCGGACTTCGGCCATGCAGCATGCGTCAGTGTGTTGCGATCTCGGAAGGCAGAGAACAGGAGCGGATGGGATTGCCCGGCTTCCGGATTCCAAGCTCTTACCCTTCCAGCCCCGCCCAGAGGAGTCAGAAGTGGCTTGCTGTCACTCTGGAGAGCTAGAAACCTCCCCATTCTGTTCTAAAGGACAATCCGGAAATAGATGGTCAAGTCATTTCTAGAGAAAGGCTCTGCCTCTGGGTTTCAGCCGCTCTCCTGAGATCGCAACACCCCTTCCAAGAAGATGGTTAAGATAAGAAACTAAAAATGTCCACAGACATTTCTGACAGGTCATTGCTGAAAGGAAAAGAAGGGGCCCCACAAAATGCACGCTGGGTAGGCCGTGGTTCCACACAGGCCGGACTCCTTTCCCTCCACGCCGTGACTGGTGGTGTCCCCTCAGAGCTGTGCCCTCTGTGCAGCACAGGAGTCCCCGCCCAGCACGGCCAGAGCGATTTTCGTTCCGCTTTCCTGGACGGCTCACTCCAGTACAGTGGCTCATACAGAGGAAGGAATTTTCCATCAACGCTTACGTTATAAGACCTTCAGATTCCACTTTCAAAACACTCGTGCACCCTAAAAAGAATAGACCTCCCGGAAATTACAAGACCATCTAGGAACAGGAGTGTCTTCGTAGTACAGGCCACGCTGCAGCTGTAGTCGACACATAAACGCACACACAGCCACACATGCTATTCTCTTCAAGCGGACAAACTGCACCCTCTGCACCACTTTTTCTTTTCCTTTTTTTTTTTTTGGAGAGACGTTTGCTATAGGGCACGTGCACTTACTGGCAAGACAGAGAGAGACAGAGAGACAGAAAGTGAGAAATCGCCGCCCCCACCCCCAGGGGGATGGCTACACTGCAGTCCCTTCTCCTCCAGCCTCCTCTCGGGATTCTGAGCACACATGCACAGGCGCCTGGTGTGAGTTTCAAGCCACCAGGTCTGGAAATCAAACTGCAGTTGGCCATGTGGGAGTCCAGTCATCTGCTGGTCCCAACTCAATACAAAGTTTTACCTACATCAATAAGTAATAGCACCGCTTGGTTTGGCCCAATTTTTTGATTACCTATAGCTAGCTCTTTTTAAAATTGTTTTTATTTCATTTTATTTATTCATTCATTTATTTTAATTTGAAGAGAGAGAGAGAGAGAAAGTGAGAAAGCAAGCCACCAGGTCTGGGACTCGAACCATGGTTTGCTATGTGGAATTGTCCAGGGCCTTAACCATCATGCCACCTGCGGGTCCCTACAGTTAATTCCTTGACCCTGTCTTTCCATAGTCTACTCAGCTATCTTGGAGACCACAGAGTCCCAGATCGTGTTTATAACTAGAGCTTCAGGCACGCTTTCCTCAGCTGTCTGTGGCAGGGTGGTCTCGAACACACAGCGACCACCGCCACACCATGCATCTGCTCCCTTCTTACCAGGGATCTGAGCTCTAAGGCCTCCTACTCTTCTGTTTCGTTTTTCCTGACTCTAAAGAAACATGGATTAGATACAGTATAGTAACTACGGGAAACCCACTGAGTTATTTTTTCCAAATAACTTCTGCTCTTTACAGAGGGGAACAGCTTGCACCTGCCTATAGAAAACAATGGCTGCCTGGGACCAGCGTAATGGCTATGTCACTGGACTCCCATGCAGTCGACTGCGGTTTGAGTCCTGAACTCGGTGGCTTAAACTCATGTTGGGTGCGTGTGCGTGCGTGTGTCCAAGATCCCAAAAGGAGAATGGAGGGAAAGGGATTACGGCGTGGCCATCCTCCCTGGGGGTGATTTCTCGCTTTCTGTCTCTATCTCTCTGGTGAGTGCCAGCATCCTAGAACAAAAACCTCTCAAAAAAAAAAAAAAAGAAGAAGAAGAAAGAAAGAGAGAAAGAAAGAAAAAGAACACAATGGCTGCTGAGTCCATGTCTGTAACCTGAACTTGAGCACTGGGTTCCCCGCCCTTTTACTAACGGTTTTCTAACATTCTGCTTTCCTCTAACTCAATGACAAGTTCTTTTAAAACAAAATATCTGAAGCTGCAAGGGTACGAAGGGGCTGGCTGTTGCTCTGCAAAGCTCCAGGACACAGCCTGTTTACACAGACGATGCTGTCCCTGGGAAGGTGCCCGTAAACGTGTACACAAGTGATGGGCTGTCTGAGAGACGCCCCATGCAGACAGGTGCAACTCACGTAGGCAGATGTCCACCAGGAACACGGTGTAGACCAACAGCTCCCGCAGCGTGGTCTTGACATAAAGTTCCCGGTTCTCAGCCGTGTTCTCAGTCAGCCTCGTTCCCCAGAGCCCTAAGGGGCATTGGAGGGTTGTCCAGGATCCCTGACAGCAATGCCCTTCCCAGGTGCACCCACCCATCTGTCTCTGGGCCTCACCCCCTTTCCCACCCTGTCCTCCCTTCCCCACTACCTTAGCCCTGGGCTGAATCTGGCTCTCTAGCACACCCACGCCGCCCCTCTGTCAGACTCCCTGGAGACAAGAGGGAAGGTACCTGGCTGTAGAGAGGGAAGCCATGACACAGACTCGTGCTGGGGCCAGTCGGGCTATCACCGCATCCATGTCCTCCCTCAAACCATCCCACATACCCCTGTCCCCCCAAGGGGTGACAGTAGCAGGCTGCCTCGGCCATATGGCTCTAACATAGGCATGCACAAACCTGGGGTCCAGGGGTCCTGAAACCTCACCTCTTCTCCAGATCACATCTCCCCTAAAGCTTTGGGCCACCCTTCTCCCGTGTTCCAGGAGACCCTCCCTCTCCTGGTACCTCTGATGGCGCGACAGATGTGAAGGCAGCATCTGGACCCCAGGGCCCCGGGCACCTTCTCCTGGGGTCCATCTTCAGGCTTCTCAGGCTGGAGCAGGGTGGGCCCCGCCCTGGAGATGGTGCAGATGCTCGGGGTCCCATGCGGGGAAGGGGGCCCGCTGTATGCAGGGTTGTCCCAGGCTCCGCTCCCCAGCTCTCGCAGCTCCTGCACCTCAGGACTGTCCACAGCATGCATGGCGAATGAGGTGGGGTCCTGGCACTCCAGGGCCTCAGTGTCACCTGCAGGAAGAGGGAGCAGAGCACACCCAGCCCAGCCAGCAGAGGGCCAAGGGAAGGGTGAGCTGCTGGGCTGGCCTGGCCTCTGCCTTTTGTAGGGGAGGCCTGGCTGCGGGGGAGGGAGCAGGTGAGGACGTGGGGAATGGCCATCAATCCTGTCAGGGGCGCTCTCCCTCCACTGCGAATCCCAGGGGGCCAGAAGAGAGGGATGTGAGAAAACTGGGAGGGAAGGTTCAAAGAGGAGAGCGGGGAAAGCTGTGGAGACTGGAAGTGGGTGGGTGAGGGGTGCTGGCAGGGAGGAGAGCTGCTGCAGACGTGGTCCAGTCCTCCGAGAGGCTGAAAGAGCCAGGGAGGAGCTGAGAGAAGAGGGGCCCTGCGGACGCCATCGCAGGTCTGAGCTCATTTCCACTAAAAGCTCCTGAAAGGGCTGACATGGATCATGGATCGGGGTAGGGACCAAGGCCAGAGATAGACTGAGCCGTCTCCCTGCCAGGCTCAGCCTCCAGTGTCCGAGGCTCCTCGTTACTGGCTCCCCTTGAGCTGTCCCCCACTGGGGTGGAGAAGGGCAGCTCCCCTCTCTCACTGCACCCCGTAGCTGGGGAAAAGACGGGGCAGGAAGAGCCTCTGTCTCAGACACGTGAGGGTGTGAGGGGAGGCTGCAGAGTTCCAGGTCGATGATTCTTTTTTGGAGGTTTTTCTTCCAGCCGCTCTTGGGGGACCAGCAGAAGGGTGCTCCTTATGGTGGGGTCAGCCTGGAACAAAGGCTACGTCCACACTGGGGGCATGGATCAGAGAGCAAAGGGCCTGACTGGAGAGAAGGAGGGCATGGCGAGAAGGCACCTGTGCTCGGAGTGCAGTCTAGGCTACACAGCCTCCACACCCTCCCTCAAGTACTCCCACACTCCCTCCTGCGGCCCGAGTGTGATGGCTCCTGGCTGCCCTGCAGATGGCTAGACTGGCCCCTGACTTCTGGGCCTTGTCCTCCAACACAGCCGATGCACACGCCTGGGTTCGGCCACAGAGACTTCACCTCTTCTCCAGGTCGCATTTCCCCTGAAGCTTGGGCACAGAGTGCGCATATGGGAGGCAGCACGGTGGGTCTGCTTTCTTTCCAACATCAGGTCTTGGAATTAAGACCCTGGCGTGGGCCCCTGTGCTTTCCTGCCTATGCCCAGTCCTGGCCTCTGCTCAGTGACCTGGCTCAAACACGGCTGCGCCCAGGATGGGGATGGTCCCAGGGTGCTGGGGGTCACCTGTAGCCCACCATCCTCCATGGCTGGAGGGGAGCTGTCCTTCAGTTCCTGGCTCCCACCTAGATCTCCTCTCCTCTGCCCTGGCCTGCACCCACCTCCACATCCAGTATAACACCAGCCTGGGGGAAGTCACTGGTCTCAAGTGTCCCTGTAAAGAGATAGTTGCTCATGGGACCAGCAGTTAGCGTAATGGCTATGTCGCTGGACTCCCATGTAGTTGACCTCGGTTCAAGTCCTGGACCTAGTGGCTTAAACTCACACTGGGTGTGTGTGTGTGCATACCCAAGATCCTGAGAGGAGAATGGAGGAGAAGGGATTGTGGCATGGCCATCCCCCCAGGGGGTGATTTCTCGCTTTCTGTCTCTGTCTGTCTTTCTGGTGAGCGCCCAAGCCCTATAGCAAAAAGAGAGAGAGAGAGGGAGAGATATCATCGTTGCAGACCACCCACGACTGGGCTTAGCCCCCTGATAAATCAGTGTACTCCCACTTCTAAGACAAGGTGAAATCATCATAGCTCTGTCTGCTGCATGAATCTCCTGCCCCAGGCCCAGAAAATATTAAGAGAACAAAATCTTGGGGCCAGCAGGTGGCATGGTGGTTAAGGGTACTGGACTTCCGCATTACCGACCACAGTTCAAGTCCCGGACCTGGCAGCTTGCTTTCTCACTTTCCCTCTCTCATACTCTGTCCCTCTCTGCTCAAATCAAAATAAATAAAATAAAATTAATTACTAAATTAATTATTTAAAACAAACTAACAAACAAACATTCCTCAGCTCACTTGGGCCAGAGCCGAGGAATGCCCGTGAGCCTTGCTCACCTCTCCATCGTCCCAGCCAGTGGGACGTGCTCTGAGGAGCCTTTTCCCTTTGGGATAACAGAAAAATAAGGACCAGGAGCTGTGCCAGAATCAACCGCTTTGTGTGAAATCAGCTGATTCTGAAGAAAAGGGCCACTGCCTCTCACCCACGAGACTTCTGAATAAGTGCAAATGACTTGCAAAACTGCACCTGGGGACAGATGGACAGGGTGACAAACAAGAAAAAGCTAACGATGGTCTAGAGATGCAGGGAGGGAAACGGACACGGTTTCTAATTCCCTTGGGCAATTCTGAGTTCCGGAGGAGGCTGTGGCCAGCAGGGGTTTGAACAGATTCAAGCAGGTTCATCAAGTGAGGAGTCTCATGCCTCTGCCATGGTCACCTGCTGGGGCAACATCCTCTTTCCTGCTCAGTGTCAAACACACCCGAGTGTGGGACCAACTGCAGGCCCTGGCTGTGGAACTCCGCTTCAGAAATGCCCTCCTGCGGTGCTTGAACTTACAAAGCTGCACACGTGGTCAGCAAGTGGCTCTCCTGATGGTGTCCAGTCCTCCCTGTCTTCACGTGTCTGCTGCCACTCATCTGTTCCCACTCAAGGGGCCACCGTGTCCAAGGAGTCCCATGGCTCCCCCAAGGTCAGCCAAAACCCAGAGCCTCGACTCCGCATTTGAACCACACCCCTGGGTTCACCTGTGGGTCAGCAGCGTACTAGAGGGACGATTCTGGACGAGCTGCTTTTGAGACTTAGTGTACCCATCTGCAGTGTTGATAATAATGTTTGCCCTGCTGACTTAGTGTTGTGATTTTTATTTTTAAAATCTGCTACAGGGTACTTGCACTCTTTGGAGACACAGACAGAGAGGGAAAGTGAGAAAGCACCCCTCAGGCGGACGGCCATATCGCAGTCGCTCCTCCTCCATTCTCCTCGTGGGATTCTGGGCACACGTGCACACACGCCACCAACACGCTCCCTTTTCATTCCATTCTCGTCCACGCCAGCTGCTTCAGTGCTACCCAAATCTACCAAACCCTGGTAAAGAGCCCTCTTGGAATTCTGGGCACACGTGCACACACGCACCTGGCATGTCTTCCAAGCTGCTGAGTCCAGGACAAAACCACCAGGCTGCCCTGTGGGATCCAGCCATGCCGTGCGCTGGCCACTTGCCCTGCTGACGTTAAGGAACTGTTCTAGGATTAAACTGGCAGAATATGTAATAGAAGTCCTTATAAATTACGTACTGAAAGCACAAAACAGACTTAACCGTGTACCACGGCACCATTCTCAAGCCCTCCATTCCCACACATCGATTCATGGGTAGAGTAGATAGCTTCAGCCAGGACTTCGTGGGCGATGGCTCCAAGGGTCCACACCATTCCATTTCCAACAGCTGACACTAGCAGGATGGACAATGCAAAATTATAAAAGCAATCTTCCAATGACAGCAGCTCCAGAGTTTCCAGTCATGTGACAAGACCTGTGGCCTATCAAAACAAAAAACATCCGGGCCAGCAGGTGGCGCGGTAGTTGGGGCACTGGACTCCATTACCACAGTTCGAGTCCTGGACTTGGTGGCTTGCGCTCTCTCCCTCTGGTGAGCCCATGTGCTCTATAGTAAATTAAAATAATAATAAGGACAAATAAAAGTTAATAATAAAGTAAAATTTTAAAAGTCTCTTCCTTAGGATGCCTTTTAGCCCACATGGTTAGCTGGCCCTGTTGACTCTCAGGATAAACTGGCTGCATGCTATCCCAGTGCAGGTGCCAGGAGGGGGACGGCCATATGGATGCCTCCAACACCTCCCTTTTCATGCCATGCTCGCCCCACCAGCTGCTTTAGGGCTACCCAGATCTACCAAACCCTGGCAAAGGGCCCAGAGACATCCCCATCTACACGAAGGAAACCTGTGGCCCATCTCTTTAAAAGATCTTAGAAGCGGGGCCAGAGGCAGTGTGGTGGTTGAGGCACTGGATCCCATGTGATGAACCAAGGTTTGCATTCCAGACCTGGTGGCTTGAAAAATCACACTGGGAGTATGCACATGCGTGTCCAAAATGCCAAGAGGAGAAGAGATGGTGGCATGGCCATCCCCCTGGGGGGCGATTTCTCATTTCTCATCTCTATGTCTCTGTCTGTTCCTCTCTGGCTAGTGTACATGCCTTATAGTAAAAACCTGGGGGGAGGGAGGGACCAGCAGATGGCATAATGGTTATGTCACTGGACTCTCACATACCTGACGGTGGTTCGAGTCCTGGACCCAGTGGCTTGAAACTCATGCCAGGCTCATGTGCATGTGTGCTCAAAGTCCCGAGAGGAGAATGGAAGAGAAGAGATTGCGACACAGCCAATCTGGGGGGTGATTTCTTGCTTTTTGTCTCTCTGTCTCTTTCTGTCTTGCTGGCAAGTGCACATGCCCTGTAGCAAAAAGCTCTCAGGGAAAAAAAAAAAAAAAAAAAAAAAAAAAAACTGACCCTTTTGTCAAGGAAAAAAAAAAAAAAAACGCTCTTGGAAGAAACCCCGGGGATGAATCACAGTCCATACTCCAGACAAAGGAATCTTGGGGTCATTTCCTCCCAGGTACTGCAGGGAGAGGCAAACTTCGAGCTGCCTTCCACATCTACATATGGATTCTGTTTCAGAGGCTTTTCCCTTGGGGCACACGCATTTGTGGGAGAGAGTCAGAGACAGTGAGAGGGAAAGTGAGAAATCATCCCCCGCAGCCCCTTCTCCTCCATTCTCCTCCCAGGACCTAGGGCATGCACGAATACACCCAGTGTGATTTTCAAGCTGCCAGATCCGGAACTTGGACAGCTGTCGGCCAGCAAAGTATGCCGTCTGCTGGTCCCTACATATGGATTCTTAACCCTTTTCACGCCAATGAACACAAC